GTTCAGAGGTCAAGTGTGTATTCACTCAGTGGAAATTTGTAGCTATTAATAATAAATTGTAACGTCTGAAGTTGGTGTAGGAACATACCAACCACTTTTTATTTCCTACTGGGCCTTTCTTTTTTTTTTTTTTTTTTTTTTTTTAGCATATCTTACAGGTAAGATAAACACGTTTTGTAGCTGCTCTTCTACCTTACCACTATACCTCAGTATCATCCATCATTTATATTTATTTAAGCACCTACTGTATTAGGGACTTGAAATAATTGTGTTCATGTGTTACTAATGAATGTATTGAGTTTATGTAACATGAAGAACATTTTTAAAAATATGAAGTCAGCAATTCTTACATTATTCTGGTAGTATGTACTGAGATATGCTATAATATTTTTATTCTCTTATGCAACAATACTGACCTCTAGAGATAAAGCATTGTAAATTCACTTCTTAGTAAAACTGGTTTTGGGAATATTTATAAAAAGGAGGATTTTTTTGTTTTTTTCTCTTTTTTTTAAACTTTTATGAATAATTTCAACAAACATAAAATTATTATGAATGCTTATATACCCCTTCATCCTGATTTAACAGTTGATAACAGTTTTACATATTTGCTTTCCTATTTTTTAGCCTGTGTACCTTAAAGAAAATTATAAGGATCATAATAAACATTTTAGCCTTATACTTCAGTATGCATCTCTTAACAAGTTAGGAGATTTCCTACAAAAGGACAATGTATTAATATAATAAAATTAACAATTATTTCCTAATGTCGTCAAATATTTACATTTCCCCAATTGCTGCTAAAGTGGATTTTACAGCTGGTTAGTTCAAACCAAGATCCAGTCAACCAACAAGCATTTATTTTGGTTGATAGGTTGTTAAGTTAAGGTTTCTTAATCTAGAGCAACCCCTAGGCCCCCCCTTATGCCCCCCATGACATTGATGTTGGGAAGCTTAAGTCATTTCTCCTTTAGAATAGTCCGTCTTTTGGACTTGTCTGATTGTTTCCACAGGGTATCATTTAACTTCTTTATTTTTATATCCTCTTATAAAGTGTAGATTAGATCTGAATCCTTGATAGGATTGAGGTTAAGCATTTTTGTCATTAATACATTGTAAGTATTTTTCACATACTTCCTACTGCATCATATTACATAATACTTGTCTTACCATTAATGATGCTCAGATGATTAAAGCGTTCGTGACCTGATCTCTTAGTTACAAAATTTTTATTTTTATTTTGCTACTAGCAGGTAAATCTGGAGAGAGATTTTGACATCATTTGAGATCCAGTTTTATTAAACCTTTTGCATAATCGTTTTAAGATCTCTTAAAGATGTTATAAAATGAGATTTTCTATTTCTGTTGTTTCTACATATATTAGCTTGAATTCTTCTATAGAGAACTTTCTGTATTAATTGGAATTAATTTGTTTATCCTGAAATGTTTCTTCTAGAAAAGCAGGATAAATGTTTAATTATTTTACTTTATTTACCAATTTTCAGAGTAAGGAGTTAAAGTACAGAACCCTTCCAGCAGGAACATGTTTTTCCAGGAAGGAACAGGCTCTCTCTCTGTAAAATATTCTTAAGATCTTAATGAATTTTATATGTTCAGTGTGGTTCAAACAACTACTGTTACTATTTTTAAGTTAAATTTGTTCTTTTTGTTGCTTTTACTAATGCCTTTATTTATCCTTTTTTGTTTACATACTCATGTAGTCCTTTTCTTTAGACATTGTCTCATTGTCTCTTGGTTCACTACTATAAGTGGCAATGAAATTAGCATATTTTAGCCTTGACCATCATTTCATTTTAGACAGTTACATTTTTTTGATGTTTACTTTTCGACTCTGCTGTTCAGCTTGTCAGAGTTAAATGGTATCCTTAAACTTTGATCAGCCAACTATGAGGTAACCATTTATACACCTTTATTCTTTTACCTTATTCCCATCTTTGGTTTCCTCTTAAATCCACAGTTAAATTTGTTCAATGGTAACCAACAATGCATTTGCTAAGAGTTTCTCAGTCACCCCTTGGTTTGATAAAGCTTGTCTTCTAATAGATTACCTTAGAAGAGCTAACTCATGATCTTCCCTGAGTACACGCTAACAACTTTGTCTATAGTCTTGATACTTAAAAGACTGCTTGGCTAGTTATTACAGTCTTTGGTTCACTCTGTATTAGTTTTCTTGGGCTGTTACAACAAACTTGAAACAATGGAAAATTATTCTCTCAAAGTTTTGGAGGCCAGAAGTCTGGTATCAAAGAGTCAGTAGGACCATGCTTTCTCTGCAGGCTTGGAGGAAGTTTTCTCCTGCAGCTTCTGGTGGCTCCAGACATTGTTGGCATTCCTTAGTCAATAGATGCGTCACTCCAATCTCTGCCTGTCTTCACATGACAGTCTCCTTTATGTCTCCTCTGCTTATAAGGACACCAGTCATTAGATTTAGGGCCCACCTTACTCCATGATGACCTCAGCTGAACTAATTACATTTGCAAAGATCCTATTTCCAAATGAGTTCATAATCTGAAAGTTCGAAGTGGACAGGAAGTTTGGTAGGATACTGTTCAACTCACTAAACTTTAATGATATAACTGTGATGTCTTTTAGAATTGGCCTTCTGGGCAGATTTCCCAGGTACTCGGTATGTCTCTCAGGGTAGATATTTAGATCCTCTCCTAAATTTTTTATTTTTTTAGAGACAAGATCTCACTCTGTTGCCCAGACTGGAGTGCAGTGGCATGATCATAGCTCACTGCAGCCTCGAACTCTTGGGCTTAACAAGTGATCCTCCTACCTTGGCCTTCCAGAGTGCAAGGATTATAGGCACAAGCCACTGAGCCCAGACTAAGGTTCTCTTTTGTTTTTTAGGGACATTTTCTTGAATTGTAATTTTAAAGATTAGCTCCATCCCATTAATTTTTCTTTTTCAGGGATTCCTTATATATGTATGTTGACTCTTTTTTGGTTTTTTTATCTATCACTTTCTCTGTAGTCCCTTTTATCTGTTTACTTGTTTCATTTTCCTGTTTGCTTTTCTCATTGCTTGCCATATTTTGAACAAGTCTGTTGCCCTTTGTTCTGTGATTTAGTGCTAAGCCTGCAGTGATTTTGTTCTTTTTTTTTTTTTTTCAGTTTCTTTTCTGTGTTATGTGAGCGCCCATTTCACGTCTTGTTGTTTGCCCATCTTTTCTGAGTTGTTGATCTTTTGTTTCATGGCATTTATTCAGTATATTGTTGTTTATTATTTTTAATCATGTTAGAATATTGGTTTATGGTTTTTCTCTGCATTGTGGAAATTTGAGTATCCTGAAATGTTTTAATCTGTGTTCTCTCTGTTTTCTTTTTATATTTTTCAGTGCACATTGCAGTTTTATACTTTTGGGCCAGCTGTTGTGGGATTAATGGAAGGTTGGTGGCAGGAAGGGAGTTTGGATGATTCTCAGTTCAGGAGGTTTCATTTCTGTTAGTGTGGGAAAGGCTTTATCTTCATTATCAGTATGGTTTTTGGTTTTCAGAGCTCTTCTTTCTTGTTTGATCTGACTTTGTTTCAATAAAGCCCCTATTTTAATCTCTTCCTTCTCTTCAGGTCTAGTTGCCACCTTCCAAATCCCAAAATTTGTCTTACGTCATCACCACCTCCCTTGCCACCACGAGGGTGTTCTCAAGACTACAGTTCTGGTCCCATATCTTCTCCAAGGTGCTTCTTGATGCTTTGTTGCCAAGTTTCAGGACTTTTTCAGTACTTCCCATTTTAGATGGAACCTCTTCCTTCTGGGGAGAAATCCTGGCTGCTATTATCTGAGTCCTATAGCCACTGAGAGTTATCTGACCTCTTAGCACCTCTGTGAAGCTCTTGCTATAATCCCCATACTAGGGTCAGCTCCAGCGCTTATCCTGCTGATCTTCAGTGTTTACCCCTTACTTTCTCATACGTTTGTGTTGATAGCTCTCTTCTGTCTCCTACTTACTCTGTAGGTACAGAGCATGGGTATTTCTGTCTGTTGTTCTTGTTGCTGTGTATAGTTTTTAGAAGGAGGTATGAGTCCAGGAGACTGCCATCATTCTTGGGGAACTCAGAAACCCAAACTCAGCTAATGTTTTTGATTTTTTTTTCTGCAGCCAGAAATAAGCTGGTGATGCAGCTGGTTTCATTACTAGCCATGGTGGACTATATCTTGCCCTGTAGTGAGTGACTGCTAAAACAACAATCTAATTGGGATAATTCTGAGTAAGTTTGTTCTCTTGTATAGTTTTATAGTCAGTGAAGAAAACTTCCAAACCAAGAAAATCATCTGAAGCCATCTCTGGCATCCCCTTCCCTTTTAAAAATTCTATTCTATTTTTGAAATCTAAGGCTTTTTCTTTAATACTCTCTGATAAGGCTGATATGTAAACCTAACTCACCTCTTTCAACTATTTTCTGTTTATAAAGTCACTTAGGAGATTGAGCTAATATGCAAATAATTGAAACCATGAGTATATAGAAGTGGAGGCAGTATAAGAGAAAATGCATTTTAAAACTGGAGTTAGGGAAGTTAGTCGTGCTTATGTTGCAGGTTGGGTTCTCCAGGAATCAGACTTGGAGCTGGAGATTAGCTTCAGGATGTTTATTAGGGAGTGCTCTTGGGATCACAATTGTGAAAGGGAGGGAAGGAAGTGGGATAGATGCAGAGAGAAGTGGAGTTGCAGTGTCATGCCAGTGGAGCATGGGAATCCTTAAGCTAAATATTTAATAGTCGTTGTCTTTGGCTGTGCAAGATAACATGACCTTTTTTAGTTTCATCTTAATACATGTCCATTTTAATGTAAAAATACATATATATTACTTTTGTATTCTGAAAAAAAAATAAAGCTTTCTGTTTTGGGGGAAAATACAAATAACTTTTTAGAAGAGAGTATTTTGTCAGTCATACATGGCACTTTGGGTTCTGAAGAATATAACCTTTAGTTTTAAAGCTTCAGTGCCATTAATGGATATTATATTTGCTTTTCAGCTTGGGCAATGGTAGATGGTGGTTCAAATGTGAAAGCCCGCTCTTCCTACAATGAGAAGACCCCAAGGATCGTTGTGTCTCGTTCCCATTCAGGGATGGTCAGACAGGTCGCTCTTCAGACTTTTGGAAACCAGACTACAATTATCCCAGCTGGTGGTGCTGGTATGTTCCTCTTCCTGTATGATCCCTGGAGAATGTTCCTGGCATGGTCAAGGCTGTGTTAGGAGACTGATTTGCTTGTCCATGCTTGGGAAGAAAGTGAGGAGGAATGGTGTACTTTTAAGGCAGGCTTGGTCTCCTGTTTGGTAACCTCGAGGGTGGGAGTTTCATCACTCTGCCCTTCTTATTAGAAAGAAGCAGTCTCGGCCAGGCGCGGTGGCTCAAGCCTGTAATCCCAGCACTTTGGGAGGCCGAGACGGGTGGATCACGAGGTCAGGAGATCGAGACCATCCTGGCTAACGGTGAAACCCCGTCTCTACTAAAAAATACAAAAAACTAGCCGGGCGATGTGGCGGGCACCTGTAGTCCCAGATACTCGGGAGGCTGAGCCAGGAGAATGGCGTGAACCCGGGAGGCGGAGCTTGCAGTGAGCTGAGATCCGGCCACTGAACTCCAGCCTGGGCAACAGAGTGAGACTCCGTCTCAAAAAAAAAAAAAAAAAGCAGTCTCACAACAGTGATTTCTCTTTCTTGAATACACAAAAGCATATTCCCTCCCATTAGATCTACCACTGATTGCTTTTTATGCAATCTGATTTCAAAATAATTGTCTTATCTGTGGGAATATCACAGAGGGGAAGAAAGATCAAGCACTTAAGATGCCTCATATGGCAGAAAGACGCCAGGAGTCATCGTAAGTATTATTAGAAAGGCTAATCCCTGAGTCACTAACACCCCTGAACTCTTTAACCTGCATGCCTGGGATGAGCAAGAGAGGCTAGTGCCCACCCACCTTACTGTATATTCTGTACTATTATATTAGTCAGCCTAGTTTTTCAGAAAAGAAACCGATAATACAATTTCAAGCCTTGTGAGTCATATACAGTCTCTGTTGCATACTATTCTTTGATTTTCTTTAATGAACTTTTGAACATATTTTTTAAAAATTCTCATCTTAAGAGCCCTACAAGAACAGGCCATGACCTGGATTTAGCTTGAGGGGCTGTTTGTCAGCTCCTGTTATGGGTACTGTCTAACATGTCAGAAATGTTTTAATTCACGTTAATAGCAAATTATGGTCAGCAAACAAATGTGTTGGAAAATCTTCTCAGCACACATAAAGGGAGAAGTAATACTTCCTTTTTTTTTTGTCTTTTTTGAGATGCAATCTCATTCTATCTCCCAGGCTGGAGTGCAGTGGTGTAATCTAGGCTCACTGCAACCTCCGCCCCCTGGGCTCAAGTGATTTTTGTGCCTCAGCCTCCCAAGTAGCTGGGACTATAGGCATGCACCACCATGGCTGATTTTTTGTTATTTTTAGTAGAGGCGGGGTTTTGCCATATTGCCCAGGTTGGTCTTGAGCTCCTGAGCTCAGGCAGTCTGCCTGCTGTGGCCTCCCAAAGTGCTAGGATTACAGGTGTGAGCCACCACACCTGGCCAATACTTTTTAACTTTTAAGCCTAATAATTTTAATTTTCTTTTCTATATATCTGCCTTCTTTAATATGGCTTCATTATTTTCTTAGAGGTTCTCTGTTAGGTTGGTTAGGAAAAATGTCCAGAATACCCAGTAGGGATGAGATAACTAGATTCTACACCCAGTTTCTTCTGCATTTTTTATTAATTTTAAAATTCTGCCTCATTACAAAAAGGCTTTAGAGTGGTAGTGTTACTGTTCTCTTTCACATGAGGCCTACTTAGACATTTAGGTAAAACTTGTGTGTTTAATATGTCATTCCATAGAAAATGGCACATACTGAATGTGTCATTCCATAGAAAATAACCACAATGTATATTTAAAAATTTTAAATTATAGGTATATATTTAGTTACATTTGAGACTAGCTTAATAAGTTACTTTGCAGGCCGAGTGCGGTGGCTCACACCTGTAATCCCAACACTTTGGGAAGCCAAGGCAGGCAGATCAGGAGGCCAGGAGTTCAAGACCAGCATGACCAACATGGAAAAACCCTGTCTCTACTAAAAAATACAAAAAAAACTAGCAGGGCGTGGTGATGCTCACCTGTAATCCCAGCTACTCGGGAGGCTGAGGCAGGAGAATTGGTTGAACCCAGGAGGCAGAGGTTGCAGTGAGCCGAGATCACGCCATTGCACTCCAGCCTGGGCGACAGAGCGAGACTCTGTCTCAAAAAAAATAAAAAATAAGTTACTTTGCAATGTATTTTTGTTCTGAGTTTAATGTTTATACTGTTACTTTAAAATTGTTTCAATTTGAAATAATTTTAAACTTAAGCAGTTGCAGAGACTGCAGCAAGCTCCTGCACACCCCGTCCTGTTATTTTAACAGTATACTTAATCAAAAAAGTATGCTACTTTCTTAAAATTTTTTGAATAATAACCTAAATTCTTTGTTTATCTTTTAGGTTATAAAGTTTTAGCACTTTTGGATGTGCCTGATAAGAGTCAAGAAAAAGCTGATTTATATATCCATGTGACATACATCAAAAAGTGGGATATATGTGCTGGTAATGCCATCTTAAAAGCCCTTGGGGGGCATATGACTACCCTGAGTGGTGAAGAAATCAGTTACACTGGTTCAGACGGCATTGAAGGGGGACTCCTTGCTAGCATCAGAATGAACCACCAGGCCCTGGTCAGAAAACTCCCAGATCTAGAAAAGACAGGACATAAATAAGCATAACTGATTACAGGGTACAGTTCTTCACAGCTGAAATGGTTAGCCTGAAATGCTGGAAGCTTCGAAGGATTGGTGGAGACTATGCATGGTTAAGGCCATCCCGAACTTTTTAAAGTATTTATGAAGCATCAGAGACTTATTTTCCCTGTAATAGGATGCAAGATCAGGGAAAATGGGTTGCTTTGTGTCTCAAGTATTGTCTTTATTTTTGAGACTATTTTCATACAGTTGTCATACACAAGGCGCATATATATATTTGTGAATTAAAATCTGTAGCTGAGTCTACATTGTTATGAGTCACCATTTTCACACAACATCATGAATCTTCCCTGTTAGTACTTTCATGTAGAATTCGGTTGAAGGAAAGATTGATTTTTGTGTAGATGTTTAATATAACTTTACAACTTTATCTCATTGAAAATAAAGTCATTGGGGATTTTTACCTCTAATTTGGATGGAAAGCACAAGAAGCCACACATTCATTAATATGCAACAAATGTTGTATTTATGTTACTGAATATTTCTATGGATTAAAATAGAAAAAGTTTAATTGATTTTTTCTTTGAAATTTTAATAACAGGTTCACCAGCTGGTAGAAAATCGAGACACATGATGGTTTGCATTGTAATAATTTCTGTGTGTATGTGTGTGTGTTGTTTTGTTTTTATAAAGATATAAATGTGTTTGTACTCATGAGTTCAGCATTTCTGCTCTCTTGCTGTCTATTTTCATTTTCCCTACGGAAGATGCATGGTTGCATCCTTTTCCTTCTGACCAACACTTAGTCTTTAACTTTGTGAGGTTTGGTTTAAGGATGCAGGGTTAGCACTATAATTTTGGTTCATTTTCTCATAAGGATAAAATATGCTGTAAGGCACTATAAGAATATAAATGATTCTATTACAATTGAAAGTTACTTGACATTACATGAATTGAACTAGGTTTCATTATTTTCAGACTTTTAGTATTGTTTTTTTAATTTGCCAGGTTTGTATATAGAAGATTCTCTCATTATCAAGAATGAGTATGGTTGCTTTTGCCATGGTTGCTTTTACTATTAATAAATGTATCTAGCCTAACCAAACTGAAAGTGTAGTAACTTTTGAGATTCTCTTAACTTCCCTTCAGATTAAAATAGAGAAGTTTTAAGGTACTTTTTGATGAAATTTTTTTCTATTCAGTCTGGTTAGAAAAAAAAGTTGTGACATATTCATTGTGTTACCGTAACTAGAACCTTGCTTTGTGAGCTATCTTTCATTGGTTTGTGTGGTTTCTCTCAATGTGATATCTGGAAACTTCATGTAAACTATCCATGCCATTATTTCATGTGACTCCAGTGCCCTTGTATTCCATAACATACTGATAAGGAGAGGGATTTCTCATGGTTTCTTTCTTTGCTAAATTTTTTAACCATAATGCAGCTTTCCTTTTATTTTCTTATCTTGGAAGTAAAATTGACCAAAGAATGTACATTCTAGCCTGGTGGAATGTGCATACTTTAGGTTTGTATGTTACATTGTCCAAAGCCCTTTACTTTCTTATTAGTAAACTGAGTCTAATATGACACAAATGTTTCACCCAATCTCTTACAACTGGCCAAATTCAAGAAGGTGGTGGGCCTCATTAGTGCGCCTTTTCAGTGAAAATTCAAAGTTTTGGTAGTTGGAACACTTGATATTTAAATAGGACTTGAGAATTTTGAAAAGAGTCAGACCTCATCTTTTTTACTTTGCAATAAGCTGAAGAAACTTTCTTTTTCAGGAGAGATGGCCAGATGGTAAAGGTATATGCTGTTGCCAGAGTCCTGTGGTATAAGCATCTGTTTTTATTGTAGTATGTCAAAGTTAGGGAAATGGGACTGGCAAGTAAAAAATGGAATTTAATTTCAATGTTATATGGGAACTCTGATTTAATTGGAAGCAAACTAGTTCAAATTAGCAGGAATTATTTTATTTTATTTTTTCGAGATGGAGTTTCGCTCTTGTTGGCCAGGCTGGAGTGCAATGGCATGATCTCGGCTCACTGCAACCTCCACCTCCTGGGTTCAAGTGATTCTCCTGCCTCAGCCTCCCAAGTAGCTGGGATTACAAGCGTGCACCACCATGCCCGGCTAATTTTTTTGTATTTTGTTAGAGACAGGGTTTCTCCATGTTGGTCAGGCTGGTCTCAAACTCCCGACCTCAGGTGATCCACCTGCCTCGGCCTCCCAAAGTGATGATTTTATTTTTATTTTTATTTTATTGATCTGCATATAGATAATGACTTTGTGAAGAGTGTGTGTTGTGTGCAAAACTTAAGATATTGGTTGAGAGTTAAATACATTATTTTTATAATACGTTGGGTATAGTCTAGTTACTAATGATTTTTAAGTACTTTTATAAAAAGTTCATTTTTAAAATTGTTTGTTTTTAAAAGCCAATATACACTGCGGAATTAGGAACAGTATTTATATTTATTTATACAAGACATTGTGCCAGAGCATACTAGTAAAACACCTTCATGAATGGGTAATGTAATCTCCCAGAATTACATTAAAATTATTTCTGAAAAGTAGCAAAGTCATTACATTTTACTTTTAATGACCCATACCTCACCAGCTCCTTGTCTTTTCTTCACTATTGCCCTTATTTTGAGGCAATTTTTCCTTAAAATATAACTTACGCACCACATTTAGTAGAGGCAGTGACAGTGATCTCAGTACCTATCAGCTGTCCCCCTCCTCTGCCCCTCTTCATCTCTTCTACCTTGTGACCATGTCCCTTGCCCATTCATGTTCTCCTTTATCTCTGCTTTTCTTTCTTAGCCAGGATGCTTCCCCCACAACTCTCACTCCCAAATTCTTTTAGATAATACATTTTTCTGGATATTGGCTGCTGAAATCTGAAGCTCTGGTAAAGTTCCTAGTATGGGAGATCAGTCCTGGAGGAGGCCTAGTTAACTATTACATTACAAAGACTCCTCAGAAAGTAAAGGAAAATCACCTTCAAAACCACAAACCTTTACGTTGTCAAGTCTAACATGAGTGTTTTTACAAAGTATTTCTTTCTACCCATTGTTCAAGAATGTAAATGTAGAAAAAAACACAAGAGAGTTGGGTAGATACACATGCTTGAGGAAACTTGCTTTTACTGTTTTCCTACTTGTATCCCCAGTTCAGTTGAATTTACAAGGACCTACAAGATGGTCATGTTTGTCTTGGTATGTGTCACCCCAATTTTAGTGTTTCTTTTTTGATTTTAAATCAGTAATTATTCAGTGGATTGTTTATACTGTATAATGAAGTAACAAAAACATTTTGGTTTGTATGTTTTAATTAACAGTTGTGCAAATTCTTCCTGTTTGTTAGGTGCTCCCTTTGAATATTTTGTGAACTGTGTCAGAGGGAGAGGGGTGGTGGCTAGGAAGAGGGTCAGAAAGAAGCTAGAGGGAGGTCAGGTAACAGGGAGGATGCAAAGCAAACATCTACCCTGGTCACCCTAGGGTCAGGGTATCTGTCCTTGTCTCATGTTGAATTCAAAAATTGGATATCACTTAGGCTTTGAAGGTGACAGCCATCTCTGATAGCTGAGCATGAGTAAAGAAAGGTAGAGTGCCAGTGCAGAAAGGAAAATATTCAGCTTTCCTCTCTTAGATCACACTTTGAAGATGGCCTTCTGGAGACAATCTGACGGGTTAAAACAGGAACTGTTGAAATTATTCTAGCTGTAACCACCTATCAGCTATGTGTTGATTGATCCTAGAAAGAAAAATAATTTTTCATTTTAGATCTTGATTGAATTTAAGATGTATTTATATGCCTACAAAAAGTCTGTCTTGTTACTGTTGTATAAAATAAACCTAATCTATGGTTTCATTTTTAATCTAAAAAAAGTTGTGCCTTAACAATAGGGCATTGTATGTTAATAAGGGAAAACAATCTTTTTAGTAGATGGGGAAAATAGGAACTTTTTGCCATTAAAACTTAAGTTCTTGTGATGTTTTTAATATTATAGTTGGGGGAAGTTCATTAAAATTAAATTGAAATAAAATTATTTTTGCATAACCTAGCATTTACCACTAAAGTATGTTTTTTATAAGAACTGGCATCTTGGTGTATATAGGTCTGAAATAATATTTCACCTTTTGATTTTTAATTTTAATAATATTAGACCAGGATAGATCACATTTTTGCAAATCTTAGTTTTAAATAAATTATTTCAGTGTGCTGTTAGTCCTCTGCAGTCATTTTGGTTTAAAAAGTGACTTTATTTATGGTAGCATATCAATAATTTATTAATGTTAAAAAATACTTGTGTATGACATTACAAACCGGTACAGTTCCTAGGGGGAGAGGATTCTAATTGATAGGCAGTTGTGAGAGGGCAGGAAGAATGGAACTTTATACTTCAAAAGGAGGCTTTGGTTTTATGAGGTACTGCTTATGTAAATTGTTTATTTTTATTTCATCAAAGCCTGGCAGGTATATGCATTCCAATTTACCATTGGCAAAGCTTTATTTTTATTTTTAAGGTTGGATGTTGAATTAATTTTTTGGGAAATGAGATTTGTAAGTAGTTTACTTTCTAGATAAGATAACAGAAGCCAAACTTTCAGAAGTTAAGGATGATAATATTAAAATGACTTGTTATATATTGTGTTTGTAAGGGTTCCCTTAAGTATCATAACTAACAATTTGTGGAAATTGAAAAAGCATAAACTGTGTTATTTGATCAGTAATATGTTCCCTTAAAATTCATTTTGAGGTGTATGTTATACACATAGTAAATTTTTGTTCAGGAATGACTTGCTCATTCTGTATTTTTAAAAATAGGAAATAAGGCATAGTGAGTCATCATTACATCAATTAACCAAAAAGTGTTTCATCCCCTCCATCACTGAAATTATCTCCTGTAGCCACCTTTCTTATTCTTGCATTATGAGGGCACATTTATGGACTTACATTTCCATGTGCCGTATTGTCCATTACCAGCAGTAGCCAAAGCTAGCCGTTTCGGTCCCACAGAAGAGACAGTGCTCTGCCATGATGACAGGGCACTGCTAGGACTGGTTTTTCTTGTTTTTCCCTTTTGGCGATGTGGACTTCAAGAACTAGATGTATATGCACAAGTTTTGAGTTTACACTAAAACTAGGAAGTGAAGTTTTCAATCTGTGTTCCTGCCTCTTCATACTTTTATTTATTTTTTGTCATCCTGCCTTATACTGGGCTAACAATGAGATAAATTAAAATGCCTTTGAATACTCTTCCCTTTCATGTATTTAAAGCCATGGAGGAACTAGACCATTAGCTGTTGCCGTCACGTGCTTAGACACCAGTTTACTTAGCGTGTTATGGCCTTCCTCAACCACACTACCAAATTTAAGTGGGTCCTGACTTCACCCTCTGGGAGGAAGTAAACTCTTCCCTCCCCATGGTTTTAGAGCAGTTTTTACCTGCAAGCACCATCTCTATATGTGTTCTTACTCGATTATACAGTTCTTGAGAGGGATTGCATCTTGGTGATTTTTGTATTTCCACCTCAACCCCAGCACCTAGCCCAGTCTCTTGCACAAATTAAGTACTTAATGTGTGTTGAATTAAATTGAATAAAGGATTATTAGCATTAGCATGTTTCGTGCCTTGGTTGTATAAGCTGGTTGTTTGTTTTGTTACATTTGCAAATATTTAATGATTATCACCCCCCACATACTAAGTTTTTAAAAGTTTTGCCTTTGCTTCAGATACTACCCCAGGCAATTTGCTGTAGATAATGTGATAGCTTCCAATGACATAATTACCCCAAACTCTCTGCCCCGATATACTTTGCCAAACGAAATTTGAATTCTCTGAATAAATTGGTCATGTCTAAAAGAGATGGTGTGCTGCATCTCCTTTTTTTTGTGCCCCCAACCCCCCCCCAGCCTTTTTTTTTTTTCATTGTAAAAAGCACAGAAAAATTTAACATTTTAACCATTTTTAAGTGTACAATTCAGTGGCATTTCGTATGTTTTCAGTGTTATGCAACCACCTGGAACCATTTCCAGAACCTGTTCATCATTTCTAAACAAACTATACTCATTATATAGTAACTCTTCATTCTCCAGCATCCTCACTGGAGCCACTTAGCCACTTAAGATCCCTTAAGATCACTTAGCCACTGCTAAGATCCCTGCCCCCACCCCTGAGCCAGCTCCTAGTAACTCTTCAGCTTTCTGTCTCTACGAGTTCATCTGATTTTCAACTCTTAAGTCATCTGTTTGAGAACAGATGTATGTGACTTACATATTATAAAACTAGCTTGAATCCTTTCTTAGATTTTTAAAAAGTAAGATGGAGGATAGAGAAAAGAACAAAGGAAGAAAGGAAAGAATTGTAGAAAGGCGGTACTGTTAACTGAACACCGAGGTTTTGGTCTAGATCTCTTTCTTTGCCACACAGAAAGCCAATCACTGAGACAATGAGTATTGCCAAGGAAGAAAGGCTTTATTTATTTGGGTGATGTTAGGGAGATGGGAGATAAGTCTCAAATCTCTCAAATCTATCTCACTGAACCCCCCAAATTCCTGACTAAAGTTACACGTTTATATAGCAGAGAAGGAAAACAGGAGGGGTGAGAAAATGGAGTGCGTCAACAGGCAGCAAGTGATTGAATGAATGGTCTGACATCTCATTGGATGGTTGGGATGACTGGGTAAGATTCAGTTCCTTGCTATTAATACCATCTGGGAGGCCTGAAGGAACTTAGGTAAGACAAATGTAAGTTTTAAGCTTTAAGCCCAGGAGGGTCAATTTCTATGTTGATTGAAAAAAATCCCATAAACATCAGTTTTATGGGTTAATTGGGCCAGTTTCACTAATAAAAAAGGTACAATGAAAAGGCTACACAGGCTTTTGTTCTTAAGTTTTGTAGGTGTTAGGCCTCTTTAAAATTTTTCAAGTTTCTTCTGAAGATCAATAAAGCAAGCTCAAAAAAGCAAGACCTTTCATTCCATCACTGGCAAACTTCTTTTAATTCC